AGGAAGCTCCAGAACCGATAAGGACATTATTTAACTCCACACCTCCAATGATAAGATCAACAACTCCACCTGTCTTTTCACCAGCAGGTTTAACTACAAAAGCATAATTGTCCGTTTCTGGTTTCTGTTTCTCTTCCTCTACTTGATAAGCTCCATCTTGACGTTGTTTTCCATTTGAGGGTTTCTTTGGGGCTTTAGTACGACAACAAACTGCAAAATGACCCACCAATCCACACTTTTTACATGTTTTACTTATTGCAGGACAGCTTTTATCTCGTCCGATGTGTCCTGTCATATTGCATCGATAACATTTCCTACCCTCTTTATGTTTTCCATCAGATGCACGGTCATCTGATTTGGCACCATACTTTCCTTTCCCCCTTCGATTACTTTGGAATATTCCATGTACTTGATTTGTACCTGATCTATCCATAGATTGCATTTGTGTGTTTACAGTTTCGTGAACTCTAGCCGTGTCTTGAAGCACAGATAAAGTTACTGTACCTGTCTTTTCAAGAAACTTTCGACGAAGCTTTGGGTCTCTGCATTTTTCAATAATTTGTTCACGAATTGCTTCATCTACATTGGTAAACTCGCATGAAATAGACTTTTGTCGAAGTCGACAAACAAACTGATCTATGGTTTCATTATCTTTTTGCTGCATTTGTCGATACATATGCCTTTCAAAAGGCACATTTACTTTAAGTGTAAAATATGCATCTAAAACGTTCAAACATTCCTGAAGATTGTTATCTTCACTATCTGGCTTTAAAGTATAATACAGTTCTTGTAATTCCATTCCTCCGGAGTGTAATAACAAAGCAACTTTTTGCTGTTCATTTGTAACTCCTTTTGACACCATATACAGGTTGAAAGCGCGTTTCCATCTTCTCCAGCGAATTGATAGTGTATTTGGATCTCCCTTGGGGTCGAAGCAAGGAAAACCACCAACTTCGAGTACTTTCGCATTCGTATTTAAAACAACAGGTCCACTCGATTCACCTGCTTGAATATTTTCCGAATTTTGATTCGTTTCCATGACACTAATTTATCAAAATTCCTTTTAAACAAGTCCTCGATATATTTAGATGTAAATCCTCGTCGCCATTTGTAGTATGTATCCGGATAAAACAACAGATTGAACTCGATTAAACATAAACAATTTACTGAACACGTATATTTACTAAAACGCCATCTTGGATTCCTAATCTTTCTCATACTTCATGTTACAACAATATAGTAAACACTACACTAACTTCCTCTGACGTTCTACTTCGGCCTGACTAAGCTACTTGACAACTTCATCCTCTAGTTCCTCTACCTCCTCTAACTCATGATCATTAACTAGTCTGGCTACCTGCAATACATCAGATGTAGTGTTGGTCAATATTTTGGTAAATATTGATAATTTTACTACTACTGTGACTGTGAGTAGTGCTAGATTTGTAATTACACTGAAAAATATTTATAATGCTACACATCTCCAATCTCATAACCAATTGGTATAAAGGAAAACAAGCAGATGTATTTCAAAATTTGCAGGTATAACTGATGGACATTTTATAGTGGAAAACACTGCAAGTGTTTACAAATCGCCAGCCTTTTATAATAGCCTAATACTTTGTAAATTTGAAGATATTTATTGATAAAATATATACTCAACTAACAAAAGTCTTTCTTTACTTTTTTGTCCAATCTTCGAATCTTTGCAGCTGTCGCCCGAACTTACTTTGTCTTAGATTCGACTGCTTCGTTGTCCAATTTTTTCTGGCGCATATACCGGCTAACGTTGAAGGGAGTGTATTGACGCCCCCGCGAAAACGGAATTTTTACGGCGTTTTAAAACAAAACTCCAAAAACAAAAAACATAGGATTTTAAGTCGATAACAAATATACCCAACAGCGGAAGAACTTTAACAATTTGAGCCACAATAAAAAACTTAAAGCAAGGCGAAAATCTATAACTTTCAGCAAGTGTTGCGAAAAGACGCCATTCGCGCGAACGCCTTGAAAGAAGATCGCTTCCCAAGGAAAAGAATGTGAGTAACCATGGTAACTTTGATACCAAAATTATCATTGAAAATCCCTCTTTCAACCTCATAGTTGTTCAACAACCATAGTTGTTCAAGAAGCAAAAGAAATTGCGCAATACTCGAAGTCAAATTAGTCACCAGTCTTCCTGAATTTTACGCGCGGAATGTAAGAAAAATTGTCACGTTTTTAATTAGCGCTTTGGCATGCATTTTTTTCAAGCGTGTAATTTCTCTTGTCTTGGATGTGCGCGCGTTAATTTTAATCACTTCACTACGTTTTGAAATGACGTGGTTGATGTGCCGTTTAATTAAATTTCAAATGACGCGCGCCAACATATCACGACACTCTTGTATATAAAAAGAGTGTGTGAATTAAACAAGTCACATATTATTAGCACTGATGAAGATCCGGGCTTACGGATCGAAAGCTTTGCAGTAATAAATTTACGTGGTGTTTCCACAAACAAAAACAATTATATTTTATCGCCATGCAAACATTCAAAGAACTTACTAAGTCGCATATTATTAGCACTGATGAAGATCGGAGCTTACGGATCGAAAGCTTTGCAGTAATATATTAACGTGGTGTTTCCACAAACAAAACTATTATATTTTGAACATTCTATGGTATCAAGTTGCGTAAAGTTGCGCTTGAGTCATCTCCGCTTTATTTCATTCATAAACAAGATAATTTTTAAGCGTTCTTGTTAAATTCCATATTAAATTGAAGCTAAAACCTT